TGGAAACATTTTGCAGTAAAGTTTCACCAATCTTACGAATAAATCTACCAAAACAGATCTAATACTGTCAAATTCTGAACACATTTACTTCTTTTCAAACCTGTTATTTGCAGTACTATAAACCAACACAAATAAAATTCACATCCTCTCAAGCTTTATACAACTTACTATATACCCTCAAGTTGAGCTTTTCCTATCTTCTTTCACATTCTGGGACAGGCAGACATTTTTACTTGAAGACAAAACCACTTTCTTTGTCCTTCTTTTTCTTACTTATTACCAGAAAATTACCTTTCCTCTCACTTCTCAGACAACATTAAAACTTTCAACAAAACCCTTGAAGTGATTTTCTTTTAGTAGTCTAAAGTATATTGAATCATTTCATGTGTTTTCACCACCTTCCTTGTTTTGGAAAAGAGCTAGTGCTTCCCAGCAAAAGGAATATATATTTATTTTTAATTTTAGTTGTTAAACATCTCTAAACATATATCTGGATCTAAAAGAAAACATTTGTCATGGCTGGAACACACAAGAAAAGGCAGCAGAAACAATCTGAACTTTATATCTGAAAACATGAGCAGCATCAGATCAGCAATATGAGTTATCTGTTGCACCTGTCTGTGCTGGCAGACAGAGTGCACCTGCAGAGAGAGCTGTAACCACACTTGCAGGCGGGGGCTGGGATCTCTCTGGCATGCAGCTCCTAGGTGGAACACGCAGAGTGGGTGTGGTGCTTAGGGCAGGCAGGGCACCAGGGTGGGGGTGGTGCACGCAGAGTGAAGGTGGGGCAAACGTCAGGATGTAGCATGCAGGGCTGGGCGGGGCTGGGACTACCCCCAAAAACGAGCAAGGCAGAGGCAGTGCCAGGAGGCTTGCGGTGGTGGCAGGCCCAGAGTGCATGGGGGCAGAGCTGGGAGGCAGAGTTGGGACACAGTGTGAAACTGGGGCTGCTCCTGGAGGCACAGCCAGTAGCTGACCACACCAGAGGTGAACCGCCATGTGGAGCTGAAACTGCTCGTGGGACACATGGATTAGGGCACAGTGGTAGAGCCAAACTCCACGCAGGTCCACTGCATGAGAGCTGAGATACCGCATGGAGTTGGGGCACGGTGTTAAAGCCTAAAGCAGCCCCGCACGTATCTCTAACTGTTTGGGCTCATTTTCCATTTTGACTGGGAATAGGTCAGTGCTCACAGTGAGGGGGGGGAGTGGGGAGGAGGCAGCAAGGAAACAAAAGGGACAGGGACACTGGCGGGAAAGGACATATTCCCAAAACAAAGGCTTAAAGAAAGAGAGTTTTGTAAACTTGTCATCAGTGTGATAAGTCATATATAGGTATGGTTTTTTTTGGGGGGGGGGGTGCGAACAGGAAGTGGTCCCCAAGATAAAATCTGGTGTGGGGTCTAAGCCCACAGAGTTATAGCCAGATGAGGCAACGGACCGTGGTCTACTAAGTGTAAGTCATCACTTTTTACTTACAGACAGATTGGTATATTATATGGTTCTAAAACTTCATAAGAATTGGCAGTCACCAATATATATGAGTGGATTTCACGTGGGTTCAGTAACAACTCTGCCCGTGAGAACCTAAAAAGCTCTGAAGGACGTGAGGTCTCCCAGTGTGGGCTGGCCCAGGAAAACTCTGCCTTGGGCTATCTGAACCCAAAGGACGTGAGAGTCTCCGAGTGTGGACACAGGTTGCCCAGAAAGACCCTGCCTTGGGCTATCTAAGGACGTGAGAGCTTTACTTGAACCCACAGAAAGGGGGAGAAAACCCGACTGGGGCCTGGCCCAGTGGCAATGTCTGGAGGGTTTCTCACCTGTGATAAATTGGGTCGGTGTTGTTTGCGAACCGGCAGCGACAAGTTTACAGCTCCCAATTGTAGAAGTGACGAATTAATGCAGGATGCAGTTCAGTCCTGGTGTTGAATGACAGGGGACTCAAACTGGGAAGAAACCCCAGGAGTCTCTCATCTGCCGTTCCGGCCAGGGAACCATATGATAGAACTGTGGGGGACTGGCAGCGGCTGAAAAGATAAGAAGTATGAAATATAAATGACCTTTATTTTTGAGAATGAGGGGAGAGACACCCCTGATCCCCTGGGGCAAGACATCTCACCCCAGGGCCAGCGATCTCTCTGTGGAACACGTGGAGTGGAGGCATATAAGTAGCCTCGATTTAAGGTGGAACCTAAGGGGGCATTAGGGATGCACAGGTAGCCCATTGGTCTTTGTTTGGTGCCATAGGTAAATTCCTAGGGGTGGGGGAGTTAGGAGCTCCTTGGCTTTACTGGCTACAGTGTCCTGTCTGGGCCAAAACTCTTTCAATGAACACCTGCTGGCTTTCCATAGACTGGTTTTCTTCATCTGCCCAGGTGAACACATTTATCCTTTTTCCTGTAAATGCAGTAAAATACACTGATGACCTAAATGACTCATGCAGCCCTGATTCTTGCGTGAAACCTAACTTGCTCATATTTTTAGACTCCAGGTTGTGTGTTTGCTGTGAGGAAGAGTTTCTGGTGGCAACATGATCTTCCTTAGCTTTGCAAGCTGAGATCCCTTCCTTCTGTATTTCTTTTGTGAATTTTGTTTTCCTTTGAGATGTTCTCTGGGTTTCATAAACTTTATTAGCTTTTAAGGAGATATATATATATATATATATATATATATATATATATATAGTTTTAATTTAAATTACTGATGGTTGCTATGGTCATTATTTCCTACTTTCTTGCTTTGTCAAAATTAATGCAATTTTCCTGCACCTGGAAAACAAAGAATTTTTTGTTTTTCTATTTTAGTTTATTTAAGGTTTTTATTTACTATAAAGTACAGATACTTCATGACCTCGATGCATATTTTTGATCTTATGATAAATTTGAAGAGTTTGTAATGTCCTTCACTGAGTCTTAGTTATTTGAAAAACCAATTTGTTAAATATTCAGATGTGTTAATGTAGCTGCCTTGAATTTCACAGTCAGGCAACCTCTACAACAACTCAGGGTCCCGCACTGGGGCCAAGCCTGCCCACGGTCCTTAGCTGAGTGTGCACGGGGCTGCTCCTGTCCCTCTGAGGCCCTTATGTGCCAATTCTTGCACTTTGGGGTCTAAAGTCTCTCTTGTTCTGATGGACAGCCAGGCAGGCATACACACTGGGCACAGCTGGGAACTTCTCTTTCTGGGAGGAAAAGGTTGTGGTTGGCTCCCCTCTGAGCTTGAAGCTGTTCAGCTGAGCATAGGTCACTCCCTGGTTGCCTTCAGAGTCAGCTGCCTGAAGGGAGGGAAAGAGGGTGGGGACTGGAATGAGGGTGTAGCCTGGGAAAGCTGGGGGACCTGCAGTAGATGGCACCCAATTTCCTGTCCTCTGCCTGTCTCCTGGGGAACTGTCTTTCAGGTCCTGGAATGAGTTTGACATGGGGGAAGCAGGGGTGACCTCACCACATCCCTGCCTGGAAAGCTGCCCCTGAGTGTAGGTCACTTCTTGGGGTCCTCAAGCACAGGGAGACAGTGACAAAGGTTGTACCTTGAATTTGTTCTGCACCATCACTGGGTCCCACAGGAACTCCAGAGTGAACACTGTGATGGCAGTCAACTAAGAGCAAACTCACTGAGCAAACTTCATTGACTTCATGAGCCCCATCAGAGCCCAGAGACCCATGGGGTTGAACCCTCTGAGCTCTGCATTTGTCCTTTATCCAGAACCTCAAGTGACACTGGGCCTCAGTCTGCTCCTGGACAAGGCACCATGTCCCCATTTGACCTCACAGTTCTTGTTCCCTTTCAGGAATGCTTCTTCCTGTTTCCAGGCCATCTCAGGCCAGCCATGTGTTCAGGTCTCTGATGACACACGTGCTCAGAGGGTCCTCTCTGCACTGTTCCCTAGAGCCTTTCCTTCTCTTCCCACAGGCACTCATCCTTCCCTGCCCTGTGTGGCTCACAGCACTGTGCACTGCCTTTGTGACTCGCCTGTGCTCTGTCATCACTGTTTGTCTGTCCCCTGCTCTGGTATGCTCTGAAAACAAGACTGCTTGGTGGCTCTGAGAACAAGACTGCTTGGTAGTGGTGGGAGTCAGGCACACTACCAGCCTCACAGACAATGAACCCCCAAGGAGGCAGTGCTCTCTGTGGGGCTGGCTGTGGAGACAGCAGGGAGAGATCAAGCTGCAGCACACTGCTCCTCACTCCATGGGCAGCAGCCTGTAGGGAGCTTGGTGAGGTGCAGGGGGGAGACACAGAAGAGGGTCCTTGCCCTCAGGGAGCTCAGGGGGCACAGATTTAAGCAAGGAAACCACTCAGTTGGAGAGAATTGGGAACTGTGGGGTGAGAGGCAATGGGTGGAAGGAAGATGATTTACCTGGTGGCTGCGGGAGTCCTCTGGGTAGGTGCCCAGCAGAGCCAGGTCCTGGTGATGAGATGGAGGCAGGCCTGTGACACCCACGTGGAGCCCTCGTTGCATCTACTAAGACTTATCATCATCCGTGTCAGACCTGGGATTCTCTAGATTTTGGGGTCTTCAGCCCAGCTGCTGATCCCTCCCTAGGTGAGGTCCAGGTTATCCTCTCCCTCCTCACCTGCCTTCCTGCAGTGGTCCTGATGCTGGAATCACAAGAGCACAAGGACGGTGAGCAGGATGAGAAAAGTCACCGAGATCGCAACCACAACTTTCAGGTTCCTTCTCAGACCATGGCCATGAGTGTCTTCTAGATCATGAAGTGATTTGCTTAATTGATGACCCTGCTCTGTGTGAGGTTTACATTCATCACCACAAACTCTTAGAGTCCAGCAACATGGCACTGCTTTTCCCACCCAGGAAATGCATACAGAAGAAAATCAATGACCAGAGAAGAGACTGTCCTGCCCAGGTCCTGTCCACACCTCCACTTGAAGTGCAGGTCTCTGGACACAAGAGGAGTTGAGGCTGTGAGAAGAGCTGAGATGGGCAGAGAGTCTCCAGGCAGCCTGGACATAGGATGTTTGAGATGGAGCCCACGACTCACCTACTGTGGAGCTGGGAGCAGAGGGTGGGGAGATGGGATTCCCAGAGCACTCTGGACCCTGAGCATGGGGGACTGAGAGTACATGATTCTGCCAATGAAAATAGGAAAATGTGATGTCCAAGCATGTCCCTGAGCACCCTGCCACTGCACACTGTCCAAAATGAACCCCGAGGCTGCTCCAACACCTTCCCCTGACCATGTGGCAATTTTAAAATTCAAATCAAAGGGCTGGGGTGAGCTCACCTTGAAGAAGCCCCGTTGTCTTAGAGGAAGGACCCTTCCTGACTGGAATTCCCAAATCATCCTCACTCCAACTGCAAAAAGATGGCCCCTCGTTTAAGGGTCTGAGTAATATTTTGAGCAGAGAGAGGACAGGTATAGGTCTTGCTATCTGAGACCAGAAGCTCCAGGGGGTCACTAGGTATGGACCACACATGGGGAAATTCCTTGTCATAGCTGTAGCATCTAAATGACCACCTGGGACCAAGAATCACTGGGCCTACTGGGAACAGGGCCCAGAACTGTTCATTGGGAAGACATCAGGATTCTAGGTTCCAACACAGCTTGGCTTCTCCTTCCTTAGTCATAATGAACCTGTCACATAGTTGTCCTGTGGGACATTGGAGGGTTACATTGGCTCCTGATTTCACCACAAGCCTGGGCAGGGATGACAGACTGGATTTGCTGTAGATTCTTAGGAGAGAAGGAAGTAGCATGTGAAATGGTCCCACACCTCCCACAGTGTCCCCCCACAGTGTCCCCAAGGCTGGGTTGTGAGAAGGGGACCCCCTGAGAGTAGACTCCTTCCTGAGGCAAGAGGATTGGGCTTGGACCCTGAGTGTCCTCTCACCTGTCACCACCAGTGCCAGGGCATCACTGGGCTCTGACCAGCCAGCATGGCAGTGATAGTAGCTGTGGTATCGCCCTGCATCATCTCTTATCATAGATAGGATGGAGAACTTGGCCTTGTTTCCAAGTAGATTTGATTTTTCCAAGAACTTTGATCTTCCTTCTCTGTTCAGAATACAGTTCTGGAATCCTAGGGTCCCTTGACACCAAAGACTTACAGAACTCCCCAAAAGGATCATAGAGCCTCGAAGGGCCCAGAGAGAGGGTTTTGGGAAGGTCACTGCAAGGAAATCAGAACCTGAATCCAGGACCTTCTTTGTCCCCTAGATCATTCCAAGGCATCTCCCTGTTACTAAACCTCCGCCTAAGCCTCTGTTGAACCAGCTGAAGGCCAGGAGGTGAAGCTGGGGTGGGACACAGAGTGCTGGGGAGGACTCACCTATGGGTTCTTGTTGCACCATGTGCAGACTGCCCTGGAAGAGGTTCCATCTGATACCTCACATGATCCCCCTTTCTACCCCAGCCTGGTGCCTTTCTCCTCCCAGCCCTGACCTAGGCAGAGCAGAACAGGCATGGTGCACTTTATTTGGCCTACTCTGACTGCCCCATCTCTGCCAAGGAGACCCTAGTGCTGCAGGACACGCAGATGAACTGAAGTGGAAAATGCTATTCTGTAGCCTCTTGTCCCCACCTCTGTGGACCCACCCAGTGGGGACAGAGCTCCTCCCTCGGCCAGGCTCTGGCTTCCACAGGCTAAGGATCCAAAGCTCTGTAGAGAATATCAGCCTAGCTCTGAGTTCTCCTTAGTCTCAGACCTACCCACAGGGCTAGAGCCGACTCATCAGAGGAAGCACCTAGGCTCTGTCCTTCATGGCCTCAGAAGCTGGACTCCAATCAGGACACTCACTTTTGGAGAGCCTCCTCTGTACTGTCACTCTTGGGCTGTTTTTAAATGAGTGTTTACTTACGAGAGTTTTCCCAGACTCCAGAAATACCTCGTGGTCCACAGTAGCACATGGCCTGTGTGCTGAAAGGGAGATCTTCAGTGGGGACCCAGCATTTGATCACTCATCCTGCAGGAACAGGAGGTGGAGGGGACTTCTCCCCTTACCAGGTTTTCCTCTCTCTATAGTGACTGCCTCCAGGATTTCACTGTAGTAATCACACATTGACTGATCCAGTAGCTGAAATAAACTTGCTGCTTCCTGAACTCCAATTCCTATTTCCCATGTTCATGGTTTTCCTTCTAGGTACCTAAAGGACCTGAAGATGTCAGCTGCTCCAGAGCAAGTCACTGGAGCTGTCACCACACCAGTGCAGTGGGCTGACAGCTCAGCTGGGCTCGCTGTCCCCAGAGCCTGGGCTGTCCTGGAAGAGAGTATGGCCCTGCGTGGATAGGAGGGGGCAGGCCAAGCCCTAAGTGCACTTCTTTGTTTTCTGTGTGTGCTTTACCATTGGGATGTTTACCTGTGTGTGAGGACAGTGACAGTTGGTGCTGTGACCATCCAGGGACAGTGGCTGCTCCTGTTGCTCCCTGATGTTTCTTCCAGGGCTGAGGGCTCTGCTGGGGATACAGAGGCTCCATCTTCCCTGTGCTCTGTGTTAGACCAAAGAGAAAGAGAGGGGCTGCAGGGCTTCACCGTGGCTTGCAGAACAACATTGTTTAGGTCACAGCATCTGGGGAGCAGTGAGCCCCTCCTTGTCCTGAGTGAAGAAAGCACCATGAAAGATGACAGTGCTGAAGAACATGGAGCTTACAAAGACAACAACTGAGCTGAAGGAGGTCATTACTGTGACACCTCTTGTGCACTTTGGGGGAGCATACTGAGTGTTCCCCCGACAGGAGGCTCAGCATCCTCATGTCAAGAAGTGCAGGGATACAGTGGGCCCTTGGTCACTGTATTCAATTCTGAGTCTCCACATTTTCCAGAGATGCAGAGAGAGGTGACGTCTGACCAGAACAGTGTGACTAGAGCCAAGTAGGAGCAGCATCTCCCGTGGATGGATCAAGAATGGTCCCGAGTCACATGAGCTATGGGCACTACTGGGAGTGGCTTGAGAATTGGTCTAGGAGTGCAATTTGGAAAAGTGGGGAGCAGCAGGCAGGAGATATCTTAGAGTTCAGGGGGATGGCGTTTTTACCTGGGGTTATGGAGAGAGCTTAGAGCATCAGAACATGGAGACAAGTGGAGACAGTGAATGTGATGCTCAAGAAGAGTCAGATGAAGTCAGGGACAGTCTCAGCAAGTGGATCAAGGGTTGCTCTTTAAAAGTTTGAGGGAGCTTCTATCCTTGTTGTGTACTAAAGTTTAAACATATCTTGTCTCTCAAGAACATAAAGTAACACAGAAAATCTATGAAAAAACCTCACATAGGATCAAAACTATATGCTACAAAAATTAGGAGAAAGAACCAACAGAGAACACTGGAACAGACAGTAAAAAATTCCTCTGCTCAAATAGATTTGACCATTGTATTTTCAGGTCAGGTGATCATTGCTTTTAGGGAGGAAGATAACAGCTGCAAAACATCTACCATTGGAAAGTTGGTTAACATGTTTTCCCCACAAAAAATGGTTGGCACCAATGCTTGAGTATATAGAGGAAATTATGACCACAAAGTGTAAAACCTTTTTAAGGCCTGATTTGTAAGCTGTGGTCAACCACTCTTGAAGAAATACACAGCATGTACCTCTGAGGGGTTGGATGTGTTGTACTACAAAACTAAGAGTGTTTTTTCTGCTGGTGCAGCTTCCTCTTAGCACCAGGCCCAGCTCCATGCAGGGTCCGGGGAGAGAAAGGTTGTAGATGTCTGTCTGTTCCTCCATGCCCCATCCTCTGAAGCTTGTACTCTGTGTCCTGCAGCATGGGTGGCAGACCTGCACACAGCAGGCCTACAGTGTGTGTGGACTCCTCTCACTCACTGAACAGCATGTGTCCCTGAGCCACAGGCCTCAGGCAGCAGAAGAAGCACCATCAGCCTACTGTGCCAGGGAGAAAAGAGTCACTGGGTCACATTAGAGTGTCTTGGGGTTCATAAAGTCTTCCTCTCTCAAAGGTGGACAACAGCCCAATTCCCTGTCAGGTGGTGCTGAACCCTCCTGGGACACCTGGCTTAGAGAGGTGAATGGGAATCACCTGGGCCTTAAAGCACTGATGTTCCACTATGACAGGCCAGGGAGAGCAGGTACTAAAGAATGAATTATTCACCAAGGGCCACAGACACCATGGGGAACACAGACTCTCCTAACTGGGGCTGAGAGATGAAGGGAAACTGTGTGTGCACACTGAGTGCCCTAGAAGTGTGGAGAATTCTATAGCAGGGAACAGTGTGTTCTAATTCCAACAATTAGGGAGCCACTAGTTCAGAGCAGTGGGCCAGAGCTTATTCTGCACAGACACTGATTCTAGGGAAGAAGTGGGATGAAGGGAGCCTTGGGTGTTTGGCAGGAACCCGCTTCCAGAGCACACAGAGTGAAGAGAGCTTTGATGGCTCCCTGTCCACAGGAGCTAGGCTCAGGATAAGTTTACACTCTCAGTGCTGGGGCAAAGTCTCTATCCCGGCAATTCCAGGAGGGCAGGATGTGTGAGACAGTGTGGGAGGGATTCTGCTTGTTATCTGATGCCAGAAGTCAAAGTAATTTGCCATCTATGTCACATATTATGGTTTGTGAGTCTCTGTGAGGCTCTCTGTGAGGCTTCCTGACAAAATGGACCTGTGAATCTCAATTCCCACCATTGACCTAGAGAAGGGAGAAAGTTGCAGCAAAGGAACAGAGATAAATTCCTGCTTTCCTGCATCACAGCTTCCACTCCTCATACCCTGTGAGCTCCTGAGTTCTGGAAGGTGTGGGCAATGACATGAAGTTTAGCATTTACTCTTTATTCTAATTTTAATCTAAGTTATATTCATGGCTAGGCACTGCCCTTTTTGATAGATCAAATACAGAATATACTTTCTCACTGTGAAACTTTACTACATAATTCCAAGAAAGTGGGCTGGACATCTGCACTAAGTACTAAGGTATTATTACAGGAGAGGCTCAGCAAATTTAGCCTCCAGTAGTGAGGTCTTGAGTGTGACTCATTGCCACACATCTGAGGTCACTGATGGAGTCACGGGAGCCTGAGTAATGCTCAGAGACTGGAGATTGAAACATGGCCCCGTGCTCTGAAGATTCATCTAGAGCTATTTTGAGAAGGAGCAACATCATCATTGTGGAATCCTGCCCAGGAGAAGCCCAGGTCTTTGCTTGAGGTGCTCTGTGGACTCAGTGAATGGGACAGCCTGGCCTCCACATGGGTTTGATAGGTGCTGAGTTTCACGTGGTCCTGGGCTCTGCTCACAATCCTGTGTGCACAGGGCAGTCTTTGGCTGTAGATTCCTGGCAGGAGGAAGGGGGAGAGATAAGAACCCAAGGCTGCACCCTTGAAGACGGCACCTTGGGATTGCAGGGGTTGGCAACTGCAGGGAGGCTGTCTGCTCAAGGAGCTCCAATCCCACCCACCAATTGGTGCTCTTTGTGCTGTGGTGTCAGATATAGAAGAGCTATCAGTGAGACAGTTGTTTATAAATCCACAGTGGAGCTCAGAGATCAGGGTCCCTACTTGTGTGAGCATGGCTGACCACACATCATCCCAGGAAAACAAAGCTTAGCCAAGGTGGCAGATAGACTGTCATGACTT